TTGTAAAAAATATATTTTTTTCGATAGATAAGGAGAACAAGAGTCCTGCCAGAAGAAGATAAATACCAACCAAATGGACTAAAAGAACGACGGGAACAGGAAACAGAAAGATGGTCATTTGTAAACTGTTAGAAACGAAGGCGAAGGTATTTCTGAAGAAACTGTCGTTTATTAAGTAAGCAACACTGCTGTTAAAAATTCGATATACGCCTTTTTGGTCAAGCTTGGGCATTGCGAGCACGCCTTCTTGAAGGATAGCACGACAGACGAGTATAATTGCATCGGAACGTGATCGGGGTTAATCGGGTTGCGAGGAAGGGGGCGAGGGACAGGGAAGGGGGGAAGCGGAAAACGTTGCCCATGGTGGTGAAGCGGCCTAAATCAGGGACGACGCAAACAGAGCCTCGGATTCCCCCAATTTATTCTCCATTGAGTACCTGGTCTTGATTTTTATTCCGGTGTCTTCTTCAGAGGGGGCTTCAGCTTTATTCCCATTTAGTTTTGATTTAATTTATCAAATCAAAGTATCAGTGTTGTATTGTGTGTTTCGTACCGTATTATACAGGGTTATACTTATACTTAAATAAGTACAAATTACGATTCAAAATATTTTCAACGCGCTCAATTTTATACTAAGTAGTTTTTTAAAAATGTAATGCAATTTTCATAGAGCACCGCATATTCATGCGTATTCTAAATCTAAACATAACTTTCATTTCACTGAATAATTGAATAACTATATTAGAATAATTATTTTTTGTTACAATGCAGAGTAATAATAAAATGCTTAAGAGTTATTAAAATTAAAAACCTTATTAAGACAGAAATATCAAAGGCTGTCAAAATGTTATCATTTTTAAGGCACTTAAATTGTCTGAACTCCCAAATTAATTTCTTAAGAAAAAAATTTAATTTAAATTTTATCAGGATGAGGTAGCACAAAAAAGTATTTATGCCTCATCTCAAGTAACCATGCGCTGTCACTGATACACATTCACAATTCATTGGCATCACATAAATCAATGGCATTAAATAAATCAATGGCATCACATAAATCAACAGCAATTTTACATAAAAAAAAGCCTGTTATACAAGATCGTATATATAGTGTCTCGTTAAAAAGTAATATTTTGGTCGATAACTGAAAAAACAGTTAATATTTTAAAGAATCCTATTACACCACTAAATTTTACGTTGAAAAACTCTATAAAATCTGTTTTTACGTTCAGAATTAATTTTTAAATGTCCCAGATACAAGGGATGCTCGAAAACAACAGGTATTTTGACAAGACATGCTACTTGAACAAGCTCAACCAGTATCAAGGAAGTCTTTACTCTCTGAGATAGAGATCCTGAAACAGTAGCGCATAGAGTATGTCACTACAAAGGTCTGGATCGCAGTGACGCTTTCTATTTGGGAAAGCCACGCTAGAACCGGAGGAACTATGGTCCCATCCTATCAAGGGCCTAAACAAGCTGGGATATGTGACTTGGGTGCAGCCATAGAAAGAAGACAAATACAGTAGGCCTTACAGCCCGCAGTATTTCCGACATAGGATAAATTTATCAAAAATACCCGGTGGTTTGGAGTCAAAGAAGGCTATGTCAAATATATCAATTGAATATTTTGTTTCAAACAAATGTAGCCAACTTTTTATCTGCACTAATAAGCAATGGTCACTGAAAATGGGACACCCTGTACTTTACATTGGGGCAATTCGAAACATATTAACTTTGCTATTAATTTTTAATAATATAAATTTAAATAATAATATCCTTCATTTATTATAATTATTTTAAACGTTCTCCTATGGCTTTTATAAACGATTTATTGACCAATTTAAATTCGGGCGTACAATTTTATTTCAAAAGTTCCATTTTAAGACTCGATCAATTCCGAAACTGATAGATTTTCCTCCAAAGCCCATCGAAAATGTTGTTCAAATGTGCACATTTTTTTTTAAGTTTGCGGAAATGCAATTATATCTGTCAAATTCAAATATCGTCGAGATGATATATGCGCCGGAATATCTCGACCATTAAAGATAAAATATAGCTGTCGAACTTTTTTATTTTTATATGCGTCTATTGTACATAAATCTAAATGGATATATTCCGAAAGGGCATGTGTATAATTTGGACGCGCGCGCTTATAGACTATTTATTTATTCAGTTAAATATAACAAACACTTTCGAGCGTTTACTCAAACGATTTATTAGGAATGTTGTTTTTTTAAATTATTTTAATGAGTGACTTTATTCCAAATGTGACATTTTATGTTTCATTCTGCTTGTTCTTACTGGTCGTAGGTACATTGTTCATACTACTATTTTACAGTTAAAGAACCTTCTGAGAGAGAGAACCTTTTTAAATAATTATTATTAGTAGTATAACATGTTTTGCAAAAATAACTGATGGCAGTTCGTTTAGTGCATTTGTGAGTTAAAGATTTATCTATAGCGCAACGCCATCACAACAGACAACAGATGGACCACAAAAATTACAGCATGATGCCCACGAGAAATCCAGAGATCTAGAGGAAGATCAAACTTGAGATGGGACCATGATATTAGGAAATTAGCAGGGATAACTTCATAGGGCCCGCATAGCCAACAATAGAAAACAGGGCAACGGCCCAGCTACGTCGAAACACCAGTTCCCATTAGACCACCGAAGTTAAGCGACGTAAGGCGATACTAGTGGATGGACGGGTGGCCGGTTCGAAACTCTGTATCGTGCTGTTGTCCAAGGCAAAAGTGTAAAATCTATTGACGCACACTGCTCATTCACGCCGGTTCGAGGCCGGATGAGATCGGATATCTCGTGAGTAAGAGTCGATTTAGACACTTGCCAAGTCGGTAGGCCAGTGACTATGATATGGCCGAGGACCGCGGTTCGGATTCCGCGTAAACAAAGTAGTCCCCGTCTAGATTAGCCATGGCAGCAAAAAGGAGACGTTTACTGAAATCTTTACTTTACTTTTAATAGACAACCAATGGATCCAACTACACAGAGAGTATCTAAATATGTGAGGGAGGCTACACCATAATTGGAAATGGTTGAATAAGCTGAAAATAATGATGATGATGATCGAATAAATTAATATTCCCAAAAAAGAAAAGGTAATTTTATTCATTTGTACTCTATTGCGTGATGCCCCCCTCCCCCCAAACTATGAATAATTCTCCCATTTATCGAGGTAACGAGCTTAGATTTTCTTAAAAAATTGGTTAGGTTAGGTTAGTTAAACAATTTAGTAGTAATAGGCAAAGTAGCCTATAGAAAATAAGTAAAAAAATAAACTCTCATTTTTCAGCCATTTATTAGTCTAAATGTCAAATTTGACAGATAATCGAGAGCAACATATCAATTTAAATAAAATTAAAAGCCAAAAATAGCACCAAAGAAAAAAGCATTTAAAAATAAATTTCACATGATGCAAATTTTATCTAGAAGCTGTATAATAAAGGAATTTTGAAAAATTATAGAAGTGTAGGGATGTTGAAAAACAAAGCGTATAATTACGCAAAAGAAAAAAAGAAAAAAATCAACTGTATAATGTCTTTTTACAGCGTATTTAACTGTTATCTATCAAGTCTGCAGCTACCAAATACATCTTTTTTACTCGACTTAAAAACAAGTTACCTAAAAATAAATCCTGTTCAAAAGATTATCTTTGGCCTGGGTGTTCAACATATTAAATTATACCATCATTTGCACGGTGTGTTAAAACGGCAAAAAAATAGCCGACCAGTATTAATACCTCACTTTATCCCAATACCAATCTGGAGTGAACTTTTTTTCGTCACGGCGTTTAATCGCATTATTTTGTTTTTGTCGTTATTGTCGTTTAAAAACGTCTTACAGACATTTATTCAGGAAATTATCCAAGCCAGATTAATAACATTTCTGAACTTATTAAAGGACGTAAACGAATTAATCAATTCTATCGGTACCGGTAACTTACTTTGTATTATAATGAAATTTTATCTCACAATATTAACATCCTTTCGAATAAAAATACTTATGTCGGAAAAGGGATACAGGATATTTGCCAATAAATAAAATATTTAAAACCATTCCGTTTTATTAGCAAATAAAAAAGTAGATGCCCTACTTTAATATGATCTATATTGATTTATATGATCCCTTTTCTTCATGGATAAGGGTATAACTGGAGTTTTTACAAGTTTAGGAGGAAAGAAGAAAAAATAAATATATGTTTGTGTTCCTTTTTTTATGTATTTTATAATGCAATTTTATTTTCATGCTAAACCTTTTTGTCTTTTCCAAAACAAATAAAAAAATATTATTTGAAAACTTCTGAAGATACGTGATCCGGTATTTAGAAAATATTATTAAACTAACGAATTTTATTTTTTGATATATTCATAAAATCGTTTTTCAGCTATTTTTGATGCCCGGCTTAAAAAACGTCCCCTTTATCATTACTGTTCTCGTAGGACTACGATAGCTTATATTTTTTTATTCTACACCTTTCAGTTAATGAATAACAGCAGTTTTAACAAAATCGGTGTCATGAAAGAGATCGCCAATTTTCATTGCCTCTGTTCCTCATGAAAAGTCGAAAAAATGCCATTTTGGCCATTTTTTAAAGGCTTTAAAAACATAGTAAACAATTATGAAAATTTCAGAAGTTGTAGTAAATTTTATGTAGATTTAGAAAACATATACGTTTGTGTACTTAGGTACCTTAGCTTTGTCAAAAAATTATTTTTTTGGACACTTGTTTTTCAGTTATTTCTGATGAGGCTTAAAACGTCCCCTATATATATTACTGTTCTCGTAAGACTACACAGGCCTATATTTTCTTATTCTATACATTTGGTAAATATCAGCAGTTTTAACAAAATCGGTGACATGACGAAAGTTGCCCAGTTTCATGACTATATGTATGAAAAGAAATTGAAAAAATGCTCGTTTTTGGCTATTTTTTACACGTTCTTAAAGACCTTAGAAATATAGTAAACATTAGTGTCCGACCGAAAGTTCGGTTTCGGTTTCGGTTTCGGCCGAGTTTCGGCCAAAAATCAAGTTTCGGCCACAGTTTCGGTTTCGGCCAAAATCGGCCGAAACTTTTGCCGAAACCGAAACTTAACAAGTTCAAGCACTTCACGATCGCCTAACTTTGTTTTCCGCGGCAACGCTTTGACGGACGCTGTCGGCCCTTTTCGGGAATTATCGTGCGCCGTTCGGATAGTTCTGTAGCAACTAGCAACAAAACTTAGTCAGCTGTGTTAGTCAGTGCGTGTGCGCCCGTCGCAAATATTCTTTAGAGGTTATGTTTTAGATGGAACTGATTACATGTAAGTTGTTGTTTTGTTTCTGTACTTGAATGATTATTATAGTTAATTAAATATTGAGTCAGTAACTTAACTTTGTTTTGTTGTTATTAACAAATCAAGTCACATGTAAAAAAAAGAGATTGTAAATGAAAAATGTGAAGTGTATAATTTCATGTTAAATTAAATTACGTTGTATAAGGTAAACTTATTTCAAGATTTGTTTTTCATTCCGATGATCTATTGACCGATTGTTATTTTTATTCTCAGAGTAAAATGTCACAAAGAGAAAAAAATCCGATTTGGCAGTACTTTGACAAAAGTATCAGTGATACATCAAAAGCTGTTTGCAAGATATGTAGCAAGTCCTATTCGTTAGGAAGCCACGAACCAAAAAAACAAACATTACACGGACTGAAGCTGCATTTATCAAAATTTCATGACCAGGAGTACAGGCAAGTACAAAAACGTTCATCAGAATTAAACGATTTCAAAAGTGAAGCAAAATTGAAGCGTACAGACTTGAGCGTATCATTGAAACAATCAAGCTCAGATCAGTCGACTCTTGTTCAGACAACCATCCCAAATTTGACTTCTAAACCTAAAGTGGTACTGTGGCCTGATGATCATGAAATTACAAAAAGGATTGATAAAACTATAATGGATTTGATAATCGTGGACATGCTGCCTTATACTTTGGTGGAAGGTGAAGCATTCCGCCGACTTAATTTATCTGATCCTCAAGGAGTTCGCAAATATCGGTTGAAATCTGAAAAATATTTTAGAACGTCACTAATGCCCAAAACATACGAAAGAATTAGATCAAAAGTACAGGATTTAATGGCACAGAGTAAGTGGGTGAGTGCTACTACAGACATTTGGACCAACGCATGTAAAACATGTTCACTTCTCAGCTTCACAGCTCATTTCATCATAAATGATAAACGTCTTAAAGTGATTTTAGGTGCATGTGTGCTAGAACAAGACCATACCAGTCAGTATATCGAACAAAATTTTACAAATATGGTAAACGAATGGGGTTTGCAAGGCAAGATTTTTCTAGTCCTACGTGACAATGCCGCTAATATGGTTCGCGCGATGCGTGATCAATATGAATCTATAGGATGTGTCGCACATACGCTCCAGCTTGTCATAAAACAAGCGCTATTTTCAGAAGACGAAATAAAAGACCTCCTAAAGAAATGTAGAAAAATCGTCGGCCATTTCCATCACAGTGAGCCAGCGACCAGGAAATTGACGGAATGTCAAAAACAATGCGGATTGCCAGAGCATGCCTTGGTGCAAGACATTGATGTGAGGTGGAACAGCACGTATTTGATGCTGCAAAGACTTATGGACCAAAAAAATGCAGTAAACTTATACTGTGTTGAACATGGTAAGATTGATTCTCTTCAATCCACTGAATGGGCTATTGTAAAGAACCTCACATCCATATTGACATTTTTTTATGAAGCCACCCTTGAGTTATCATTTGATAATGCATGCATTTCAATTGTCATACCTTTGATATCGTTATTAAACCGGAAATTGCAAGTTCGCTGTGAAAATGACAATGAAATGATAACCAACATGAAAAATTCACTATACGAGTCCATGAACACCAGATTTTCATCATTGAAAAAACTCCCTTCGTTGATGGTGGCTACATTATTGGACCCAAGGTTCAAGTCTAAATACCTCAATTCCAATGAAGTAGACATTGCTGTAACAGAGCTAATATCTTTCTTGACTGAGTCTGAAGTCAGCATGCAATCATCCCGCAGCACTGATAATGATAACGCCAATGTTTCTTTTGCTTCAACTACATGCGTCTCGCAAGCTCACCACATACAGCAAGAAAAAGAGAGTCTTTGGGATGTGCACGATAATACGACTAGTCAAACAGAGACCACAGAATCTGGAGAAGACACTAAACACTTTCTGAAAGAAAAGATTCAGTCTTACTTGTCGGAGCCATTATTACAACGCAATGCAGACATATACAGTTATTGGAACAGCACTCCATATCCAACATTGAGAAGCGCTGTTTTAAAATATCTTTCAGCTCCACCTACCAGTGTCCCGAGTGAGCAACTGTTCAGTGCTGCTGGCCAAATATACTCGGATCGTCGCAATAATTTGCGTGGCGAAAATGTAGACAAACTGCTTTTCTTGGCGTACAATATAAGACTTTTCAATTATGAATATTAATAATATATAAGATATATATATTATATATTTAGGGTTACTTTTTTTTTTTTGGTCTATATATTATATAGAAGTTTTTTTTATTTGATTTTATAACTGTTTTCTATTTAAATGTTTAAACTTCAGTTTAATAGTGAGTTACTTAGTTCGAAATGTAAGTACAACTGTCCTACTAATTGTGATCTGGGTATCTTTTTTAATTCTAAATATGTGATTTTTGATTATCTATGTTGAGACTGGAACTAGGCGAGATAGTAATTATTATTTTTATATAAGAGGTACCTAAAAGAGATTGATTATTCTACTAAGTACAAATACAATCCAAAGTATTAAAGGGAAAGATCTCAAAATACCAATACTTAGTATTTAATGAAACAGTAACAATTATTGATTTGATTTAGTTAGATGACTGATTTGACAGAGAACTTAATTTGAAAAATTATTAAAAATGTTATTAATATGTTTTTATTTTATATTCAATAAATGATTACAACAATCTTAATAATATATTGTGTTTCCATTTCATGCCCTAATTAAGGTAAAATGTACCAAATTTCAGTAATTTAATAAATTATATACTTGACCACGTGAGTTTCGGTTTCGGTTTCGGTTTCGGCCGAAACTGAAGCCACGGCCGAACATTCGGTTTCGGTTTCGGTTTCGGCCGGAAAATCAGTTTCGGTCGGACACTAGTAAACATAGTCATAAAATAATGAAAATTTCAGCATTTGTTGGAAATTGTATGTAGATTCAGAAAACATACACTTTAAAAAGCTTAGGTACCTTGGCTTTGTGAGAAAATTAATTTTTTGGACTTTTGTTTTCAGCTATTTTCAATAATGGTTAAAATATCCCCTATATCTATTACTGTTCTAGTAAGACTACAGTGGCCTATATTTTCCTATTCTACACCTTTTAGTTACTAAAATGAGCAGGAAAATCTTCAACTTTATTTATATTTCCATTTAGGTTATAAAAATGTATAAGTAAACTAAACTGAAGCTTGTAACTAAATAATTAGAGAAAGGATATTTTACAGTAAATTTGTGATTTACCAAACATACTTTAAAACCTACACATGCATGTTATTACAAATTGTTTCCCCGGCCACAAATAAGAGACCGAATTTCCTTTTATATGTTAAAGGCCACTTTACAAAATACATTAAATATTAAAATTAGAACAACGCAAATATCCTTTATGTTACACGGTATAGGACATTAACAAATAAACAGGTCTTTTTTAACTTGAACTATTTGTATATGAACGTAGACATAAAATCTAGTCAAAATACGAAATCCTTAAATTTCTTGACAGTTTGGTGGAGTATCAAAAATCAATAATATTGATCTAAATATCTTTCACAAAAAAACATCAGCGATACCGGCTATGCAGCAGAAGTCTTGTTTCTAAATATATTCCAAATTAATATAAAGATCCGGCTGCACATTTACGTTTTACCTGTCAGTTTTGCTGGTCAGGTAAAACGGAAAACGTTTGCCTGTGAGTTGCCAGACAACTATCACTGTTATCTAACTATTATCTATATGGTTAAAGAGTCGATCTAGTGATATTAGTTTAACGTTTAGTGATACCAACACATTTCAGTGATAACCAACAACAAATACATATTTCATTTAATAACTTTAGGATGTTTAAACGATGCTGTATAAGTATAGCCCCGGTATATCAACTTCTCCCATTATAAATCGATATAAAAATATATGTTTCGTATAAAAGGTTTAATATTTCCGATCGTAAAAATTTTGATGTGGGCACTACGTGATAATTGAATATAAACCATTATTCCGACTAAACTGCTCCACTCGTAACCAACAGAACTTGCGATATTAGTGCTAGGAGCAGTCGTTTTAATAAAATTTTGATTAGCAGCCATTTCCCTTTCTTATTATTATCCTCCTTATTTATTACGTTTATGTATCACTGCTACGTTCCGCGTTCTCAATAATATTAAATGGATGGAACATCTAGTCAAATTAGTTATATCCCAAGCATAGAGATCAATATTGACACTAAAATCTAGACAAATCGTAGAATTTCCTGTTTCCAAATATATAGCATTTTGACAAAATTACATACTAGGAATATAAATAGTTCTAAACAACCTACAAGGCGTTTCCATGTATATTATGTACAGGGTCCGGCAATAGTGAGTCGAGCATCTGTAGCTCCTGGAATAAAAAACTTGAGAGTTTTGTTTAAATGCAAACCTAAAGTATGTATTAGGATGTATTTCAGGAAAATAATTTAACCTCTACAGAGTGACTCAAAAAAGTGTGAGTGGATCAGGATGATTTTTTTTAAACGAAACACCCTGCATATTATTACATTTTTGGCTTCCTTTCTGATCACTGTACATAATCCTAAGAAATTTTTAAATAAGTTTTGATAGTTTCAGAGATATTAATAAATAAATAAAAATAAAAAAATATATTTTTTTCAGCCTTTTTTAAAAAAATTATTAAAAATACAAGAACTGTCCTGAAATCAAAACTATATTAGGTGTTTACTTTAGATGGTCTGTACTTACTTTGCTATATACAGAGAAGACCAGGCTACTAGTAACATAGCTACTAGTTCCATTTAAAAAAAAATGAAGAAAAACTCTTTTATATTTTAGAAAGTTTGGCGAAGAGTTTTGAACACCCTCTTTGGTTTAATAGTCCGATATTTATAGTAAAGTATGTACAGACCATCTAAAGCAAATACCCAATATAGTTTTGATTTCAGGACAGTCCTTGTATTTTTAATAATTTTTTTAAGAAAGGCTAAAAAATATATATTTTTTTATGTATTTATTAATATCTCTAAAACCTACTGAAATATATTTACTCATATCTTAGAATTATGCAAGGTGGTCAAAAAGGAAGCCAAAAATGTAATAATATACAAGGTGTTCCGTTTAAAAAAATCACCCCGATCCACTCATACTTCTTTGAGCCACCCTGTATAAGTTAATATTTTCCTGAAATACATTCTAGTACATATCTTAGGTTAGCACTTAAACAAAATTTAAAAAAAAATAAAAAAAAAAGTTTTTTTTATTCTAGGAGCTACAGATGCCCGACGCTCTATTGCAGAACCCTGTATATGGTAAATAGGTGTTTAACTGACAAAATGAAACAATACATTATGTCTATATCGATAACGAATGGTTCAAGAGAACAAAGATTAGTTTTCCCAGAAGACGTATCCAAGAATGTCACAATTTTGAATTTTCGAGGCAGAAAGAACGGCAATCGATTATTGTTTAGAAGAAATAAAAGTACTGGGTTTCCAAGAGGGTTCTATCTCTCCTGTAGAGTTTGGTCTCCAAATTAGTAGACTTTTTGAAAGAATAAGATCTCCACCTCATAAAAATCTAAATTGAGCTACATTGGAACTCCTCTATACTTAATGATTTCTCTGAGTACTGTTGCATATCAAACACAAATAAAACCAGCTATTTTAGGCATCTGCAATGTGATTAAAAACATAAGTTTTATCTGTATTTAGTTGCACAGTCACCCTAACAAGAATATTATCTAAAACAGTTTATCACAAATATCTTAAAGGTGGTCACAAGCATTTAAAATGTTTACGACTGGAAAAAAATTCTTTACTTAGTATGGAATCTGGGGTTTATCAATCTGAAATTCCCAATCTTAATATGTGTCATTAATAAACAACGTTAAGGTCTAAACGAAATCATAAAAATGCGTTTTTAGGAGTGTGTATTCCTGTTAAAAATTGATTACAATTAAGTTTCCTCTATACAACGTCATGTCTTTAAAAAATGTTTCACACACAAAAAAAACACAAGTCGTTGTCAATTTTAAAATTGAATTTGACTAGTCTGCCCTATAATCTGCCAAAGATTGACTGCTTTATGATAGCCCCCATTACAAGGGGCGATTTATTCAAAACTGTGGTAGAATGCGGGGTGAAAATAAAAACGTAAGTGAGATAAATAAGGGCGCGCATTAACAACTGAGTTTGTTTTAAAAATTGCTGACATTAGGGGTCCCACCGTATTTTTTTCCCATGTAGACTATGTCTGACATTTTTTGGTTATTAATTCTAATATTTTTTGTGCTTGTCGAAAGATAAATTTTGAAATTTAATTTTATTTTCACGCGTTGTCTGAAGGCAAAAAAAAAATAATTGACAACTCCTTGTGACTTTTTAAATATGAAACACGAAACATTATAAAATGTGATTCATTTTTTAATGTTTAATTTTATTAATTCCTCTGCCTATCCTGTATGTTGTTTTTCTGTCCAAACCACATAACAACGTTTATTTATTGGGTTATGAGCGTCAACTCGACGCAATTCCATTTCAAGATCTAATAAAAAAATAATTTCATGCAAATTACGAATTAAATGCCTTTCAATGACATTTTAAACCACTGAAATATTGCTATTAATATGTCGTTATACATATATTTAGTCATAATCGGTGATAAATAAATCGGCGATACGCTGTATTATAACTAGAGCGTTTTTAGCAACACAAAAATCCTGGTTAATCTTAATAGGTAAATCATTATTCATTTTGAAGCAAAATTTTTGTTTTGGAACATTTTTTTGGTTCTTCTCAATAACTTTTATAATATAACACTTTTATTGGAGAAAAAAAAATTAGCAGTCTTTGCTTTTGGTGCTCATTACTCTAAGAGGGGTGGTTTTAGAAGTCCCAAAGATGATCTCTACCATGTTTAACTATAGCACCAGATACACACAGAGTTTTTTTGGAGTTAAAACCGTCTCTGCTAGAGAAAACGCCAACAAACAATAACAATTTTCAATGAAAGTGATTAAAAAAAAACACTATTTCATAGGTGTGTTGATTAGGATCGGAAGCAAAGGCATGCTAATACAATTATTATTAATATTTTATTGCAAATCTTATATCTTATATAAAAACTAACTGACAGGGCAAACAAATTTGTTTTGACATATAAATATTATTTTTATTCACGGGGCTGAAAATTATTGAATTACTAATATCGTTATTAAAAAAGAGGGGTTGATGGTAGAAGGATGAAAATTTAAGGTTGTATGTATTATACCGGGTGCGTCTCAAAAGTGGCTCACCCCTATAACTTTTTTATTTCTTCAGATAAAAAAAACGAGATTTGATATGTTAGTATATGACATAAATTAGGATTCATTGGACGTATTCAATTGTTTTTGGTCACTTCCTGTTTCACCGGAAATAATTACAACTTTTGATTTTTATATCCCGGTATATTTTTACTTTATTCGATAGAATCTCATATAGTTTATTTGAAATTGCAACATGTAATATTTTTTTAAGCCAAAATGTCAAAAGTTGACATATGATATGTCATTCTATTCAGAGTGTCATTTTATATCGAATAAAGTAAATATATACCGGGGGTGCCATTGAAAAATCAAAACTTGTAGTCATTTCTGGTGAAACAGGAAGTGACCTAAAATAATTGAATACGTCAGTCAATCCTAATTTATGTCATATACTAA